TGAAATATTCACGTTCATCATTTTTAGGGTTACAAAAATACACTAAATATCCATTACTGATTATTATTTCTATTGACAAGAACACGTCATGAGACTGCTACTTTAAACATTAAACTCTATCTAGAACTGACATCTATGTTTCTTGAAAATCAAATTAAACTGTTACTAATTTCCAATGGTTTCATACAAGGATGACATGCAAATTTACCTGTCCTAAAAGCTTTTCCTATGAAGGTTAGCATAACAGGGATGATATTGGTGATTTAACTAGAGGCAAATTATTTCCAAACATTTTTTTCATTAATTAATAATGATAGCATTACAATTTCTCACAATTGTCTTGAGTATCATTTGGAGTATGTTAAAATGGCAAATACTTATTTCAGATTACATAAAGATACCATAAATTTATAAATTACAGGTTCTTCTTCCCACATAATCTGATTTCAAATAAGAACTTAACACATTTACTTGAACTGTATAATCCAATACAAGATGGAATCAACAATACCTCCCTAATCTCAATCATTCTTCAAAAACTGTTTACAACCAAACTTCTATCAGAAAAATCCCCGAAAACATCAATGATTACTAAAGCGCTTACCTAATTCAACCTCCACCTCTTGATTGCGACCCTTGGCAGGTGTGAAGGTGCTCTCCAGCTGATCCCATTTGTTGTTCAGGTAGTTCACACGCCAGCTAATCTCATCAGCTGAGCCTGGGTATCGCTGAGCAACTCGTTCACCCTGTTCTACAAAAAGTGTTCGCCTGAAGGTGCGCCTGCGTAATTCCTCCTGCTGTGCCTGTGATCAAGGGATGGTTTCATCAGTAAAACACAATTTCACATCTTTTTCAGTGATAAAGATACATTATTGATTTTACAAACGATGCATAAAAATGCTTATCTATTCATTAATTCACTAGATCTACATTACAGTTGGTCAGTCCATCATACAATAAAATTGATCCAAATGAAATTAGCACTTAGATGCTTTGGTATCAGAGTGCTTTTAAAATCAGCATATTAGTCAATGAAAAATGTCACTGTATTGTTAATAAAAGGAAAAGAATCTTATGTCTTAACTATTTGTTCCCTATCAAGATCCTTCATAAAATACATCTATCAAATATATGCATGGATTATAATGTCTTCAGAAATATTTGTGTGGATATGTTAAATTTCATATTGCCATATCATTTGCCTATGCAGTATCTAATATATGTGACAAAAATTTCAGACCAAATATTTGTTTGATCTATTGCAATGTATGGGAAATAGAAAATATAACAAATTCCTTGTTTTAAACTATATTCAAAACCATAATTCCATTAGTAACTTTCATTTCATAATATGTAACAACATTAAATCAAATATCTGTTACAAAAACCTGTTATTATGTATGCTGTGCCATTCACAATGTGCGACTTATATACTGCTTATCTGTATGTTGTATTTACAAACTTTATCAACATTTCAAATATGAAAAGGAAAAATAAAAAAACAAACACTGTATCTCTAATCACAATCTAATGAAATGAGAAAATCTCAAAATATCAAGTTAAGCAAGTTAATCAAGCATTGAGAAAAGAGAAAAATGCTCTAATCTATACTGTACATTTATAATTATTACATGATTATTAACCCATCTGACTACAATGGCTAGCTTTTGTAAGTTAAAGTTATCATAAAGTACAATATTTAATATTAAAATCAAAAGCATCTTTTTCCACTTGCTAGAATATAGATGCTAAAAAAGGGCACAAATACAAATTTTTAAAAAAGGCATAAATATAATAAACAAAACACAAATCTTAAAAAATCTCACCATCCTTGCAGCCTTGTCTGGTGGGTTAGAATGTGAATAAAGCTTCAGCTGGACTTGAATAAGCCACTCATAAAGCTCATTGTACTGGTCAAGAAACTCGGAGAAACTCCAGACATAAGGCGGCGACACATCACCACTGTCCCAACTTAGTTCAAACTCTCCTGAGGATGGGGCTTCTGTCGTGTCTCCAACCTGAAAGAGTGAACCAGGGTCAGTCTACGTCAACTTAACACCTGTAATGGGAGCTGGCATGCCCTTCTCCTATTTCTGCAACTGCATGCTTTGTGCTTTGGAATCTTTGTGGTATTTCCACTTTTATCTGAGGTGATGCCTGCTCATGTGTCCCTCTCATGAGCAATATCTATGACTACCACATGCAAAGATTGTTATTAACAAAAATGCAAAGTAAATCCTTTTCTTAATTTACAGTTCTCTTTAGATTAATTCTAAAAACAATATATACATCTTATATTTACAACATTACCCACTATTTCAATGGTATTTACACATTTTGCAAAATCATAGGCCATCCCACCTGGCAGGAGTCTGGAATAAGATTGCTGCCCATGATGTAGTCATAAGGTTCTTGTATCGATGCCCAAAATTCCCTGTTGCCCTCCTCCTTGTCTGCGGGGCCCCAGGACCTTCTGGCAGCCTCCCGGTCATTGCTCCGTCTGGAAGTAAAATAATAAGCATGTTAGAATGGAGATCAAGTTCTACACGCAAACTACTCCTTAACAAATGTTGTTTTAAATGTCATTAACAGTGATGCCTGATATCAAATGCAAATAATTATCAATTTGTGCTAATGACTAAAACTCAAAAGCCTCTCTCAAAAACCACAGGATGAACCTGACAAGGAAAAGTCGACATCACAAGTCTAGCAACAAGCAAACTGCTGCACTCGATGGAAAAATTGAAAGATTACACCATGAATAAAGCACGCCGCTGAGCTTACATAACTTACGACCACAATAACGCACAACCAGTAATTAAAGACCACTAGTGAAAAACAATTCACTTTTGCAAGACGTTATATAGTCGTAAAAGTAATAAAAAATACCTCTCAGCTAAAAAACACACACGCCTCAATGGTCGAAGAATAGTCATTAGCCGTGTGGAAAAACAATTCTTATCTATCACTGATCGCCCGCAATAAATAGTCAAAGGCTGGTAATCAGAAGCCAAAATAGTACTTGGACCAACAGAGTAACTTGATCGATAATGGATGTAGCCGGCCGAAAGTGTTACCAATGTGTAAAAAATAACGCTGTGCTGGACTTTTTTCCCGCGAGTTCATGAAATAATTGATTAATTAACTGAACAACACAACTCTGTTCTGAGTTTACGTACGCGGCCTCATGATCTCTAAAGCAGCAGAATACAAGGTCTATATAAGTACGCGGCTTCTTTCGATAGTTTTATTAACATTGCTATAGATGATAATAGGTGACCGCCGACACAGATATAATCGAAAAAAAGCTCGGGAAATTCGAAATCAAATACACCCGTAAATTAGCGAGATTTAAAAACGGTAATCTATCGCTACTTCATATCTAAATCAATATCGTAGACAAGACGGACACGACGTTGCACATCGTTAGTGCGGCAAAAGGGACACGCAGTCTGCAGACTTCATGGTCAAAAATACTAAGTTTATCAACCTGCAAATCAACTCTAAACCCCAGAGCGAAACTAGCGCCCTGTGACTGACATTTGTTCAGAGAAAGTTCTCTACGCATCCAAATTCCTCGTGATTACATGTTGCGCCGACTTATAACCCGTACAATGTTGCAGGCGTTCCAGTATCTGCAATGGCGAATGCAGACCATCACGCTACCATCCTACCAGCCAATCCATACTTCTACAGCTTATGTAAAGCAATGGACTGAAAGAGGTGTGGAATTCTATAAGGTGCCGTATAACAGAAGCACAAGTCCGGTCCATATTGATGATTACATACATGATTACGGATAGCAGTATGTCAGCACGGGAATGGAGGCCAGCTACTTACTACTCCAAAAAATAACGCTTGTATGCAAACAAATACATATTTCGTGTTCGCGTATTGAGCAAATGATATACATGTTATTGCTCTTGCATGAATATACAATAGCTTTTGGTGTCATTACAAAGAAGCCAAAGAGGAGAAAGCCGTTGGTCTTTTTACCCCTTCTGTCAGCACCTTCTGCCACTTCCTCTCTCATTACCAGCATCTACACCCCACAAATTCACAACACTTTGTTCTCCACATCTCCTCTCTCTCTCCCCCCACCCACCCACCCACCCACGCCCACCCTCCCTCTCCCTCTCCCTCTCCCTCTCCCTCTCTCTCTCTCTCTCTCTCTCTCTCTCTCTCTCTCTCTCTCTCTCTCTCTCTCTCTCTCTCTCTCTCCAACTGCCTCACAACCTCCCCAAAATCTAGTTCTCAGCCTCTCGTGACAACCTACTTCTTCCTCATCATTACCTTCTGCAACTCAGCCTCCCTGGGTGATGTCACCCCGCCGAGATGAACTAGGCTACTTATTGTATGTAGACCACAGAGTAGGCCTACATCGATTCCTCCAAGTAAGGAACCTCGGATAAGTGTGATTACCCAAATATGTAAGTGATTATCTCTCCTCCATTCATCAGCCATGTGGACTTCATTTTTCATTCATAATTGCTGTCAAACACTTAATTCAATTCGAACAAGAGACAATGCATATTTTTCTTCATTTAAAAAAAATAATCACCGCATACACCCACTAACTGTACATCGTTGCCGTACAACAAATACAATATCTCAAACTATACGAAGTCGAACCTGTTCACCTTAAAACACCAAAAATAACCCAAAACAACACCTTGGTCCATTCACCAGCTGGCGACTGGGCCTGCGACTCCCAATTGGTCTTCATCAACCACGGAAGTCGTAGCCAGCGCTGGTGACGTGTGCAAGATGGTCGACTCTCCCGCAACTGCCGCAGCCATCTTACTCGAAATGTACACACATCCTCACGCAAAACTCACACCGGCGCATGTCTCCAGCGCTCTTTGTGCAACCGATAAATCACTCCTCCCTATTCATACTTTTATGGCGCCATGTTGATTCGGTTTCTCGCACCCAATCGTATCGGTTGACGGAGAGGTTGAAAACCACAGTGAAATCGGCAGTTACAGCCTCCCGCCACCAACGCTAAAATCACAGCCGTGTAGCGGTTGAACATAAGACAAATCTTAAAAAAAGAAAGAAAATAAAACACCCACACGGGTTATAAAACGGTTTTTTGTTTTCACGACTACCTTGTTGAGAGCGACCCCCCTTCCTCCCACCCCCTCACCGACCCCCCCTCCACCAGCTGGGATATCTTGGTGATAATCCACGCGGCGCAGACCACACTAGCAACTCCACGGGAAACTGCCAGAAAGTTGCCAGTCAACATGCAATCTGTACTAGTGATCTCAACTTGGTCGCTTTTTTATTTTTGAAAAAAGACGAGACTCAACAGACATTAAAATGTTTAATCATTATAAAAAATCTGAACTTCAGCATAAATAAAAAAATAACATACATAACTGTAGCGTCTGCAGGTTTAGTCGTTTAAATAAAACGTAGAAAGGAAAAGAAGCTGTCATTAATAATTACCTTTGTATGTGATGACATGTACGTGTGGTGTGTGTGTGTGTGTGTGTGGTGTGTGTGTGTGTGTGTGTGTGTGTGTGTGTGTGTGTGTGAGTGTGTGAGTGAGTGTGAGTGAGTGAGTGAGTGAGTGAGTGAGTGAGTGAGTGAGTGAGTGAGTGAGTGAGTGAGTGAGTGAGAGTGAGAGTGAGAGTGAGAGAGAGAAGAGAGAGAGAGAGAGAGAGAGAGAGAGAGAGAGAGAGAGAGAGAGAGAGAGACGGAGACAGAGAGAGATATTGTCGGTGTGTGTGTGTGGGTGTATGTATGTATGAACGTGAGTCAATTACAGGAAATCAACCAGTGCCTTCGGTTTCCTATTCACATGAACAGCGCCTCATCCGACCAGGAAGCCGGGCGAAATAGCCGTCCGACGCCGCCCGCGCCAGATCCTTGGAGCAGAGGCAACGCCCGCAGCCCCTAGGCCCCCGGCTTCCATCTCGGACGCAGCCCAGTACCTCGGCGGGATCAGCGACCGGAAGTCCAGCGGGATCTCCATCAGAGGCTACTGAAGTGAACCAACCGCCTGCCATTAACCCCGAGCTGCATTTTCCTCCTCCTCACTCTCTTCCTCCTCCGCCATTCCTCCCTCTCTTTCTCCTCCGCCCTTCCTCACCCTCGTCCTCCACCATTCCTCACCCTCTTCCTCCACCGCCATTCCTCACCCTCTTCCTCCACCGCCCTTCCTCACTCTCTTCCTCCTCCGCCCTTCCTCACCCTCTTCCTCCTCCGCCATTCCTCTCCTTATTCCTCTTCCGCCATTCCTCACTCTCTTCTCCTCCGCCATCCTCACCCTCTTCCTCCTCCGCCATTCCTCACCCTCTTCCTCCTCCGCCATTCCTCACCCTCTTCCTCCTCCGCCATTCCTCTCTTTTCCTCCGCCATTCCTCACTCTCTTCCTCCTCCGCCATTCCGCACCCTCTTCCTCCTCCGCCCTTCCTCACTCTCTTCCTCCTCCGCCATTCCTTTCTCTCTTCCTCCACCGCCCTTCCTCACTCTCTTCCTCCTCCGCCATTCCTCACTCTCTTCCTCACTCCTCCGCCATTCCTCACCCTCTTCCTCCTCCGCCATTCCTCACCATTCCTCACCCTCTTCCTCCACCGCCATTCCTCTCCCTATTCCTCCTCTGCCATTCCTCACCTCTTCCTCCTCCGCCATTCCTCACTCTCTTCCTCACTCCTCCGCCATTCCTCACTCTATTCCTCCTCCGCCATTCCTCACTCTCTTCCTCCTCCGCCATTCCTCACTCTCTTCCTCTCCGCCATTCCTCACTCTCTTTCTCCTCCGCCATTCCTCACTCTCTTCCTCGTCCGCCCTTCCTCACCTCTTCCTCCTCCACCATTCCTCTCTCTCTTCCTCCTCCGCCATTCCTCACTCTATTCCTCCTCCGCCATTCCTCACCCTCATCCTCCTCCGCCATTCTCTCTCTCTTCCTCCTCCGCCGTTCCTCACTCTCTTCTCCTCCGCCATTCCTCACTCTCTTCTCACTCCTCCGCCATTCCTCACTCTCTTCCTCATTCCTCCGCCATTCCTCACTCTCTTCCTCACTCCTCCGCCCTTCCTCACTCTCTTCCTCATTCCTCCGCCATTCCAACAGATCTGGCGCGAACTCAGCCCCCTCGTCTCCCACGGCGGGACCCCAAGAACACCCTCACATACTCATCGCCATAGAGAAACGGCGTATTTGCGGTGGCATGAGTGTGGCATTGACAAAAGCCGGAGAGAAAACCGCAAGCTTCCGCCTTCCACCGACTGCTTTGCATGTCCATTCATAAACCGAATTCCTTCCATTCATAAACCGAATTCCTTCCATTCATAAACCGAATTCCTTTTTTTTTTTTACCTTCGTGGCGGCGGGCGAGTACTGGCGACTCTCAGAATGAATTTGAGGAAGGAGAGGCCAGGCGGATGTGAGAGTGAGGAAGGAAAGTTAGTTGGATTGACTGGCGTGGACTAATTATTCACCAATTCCTACCTCTGTCCCCTACCTGTTGCCTTTGAGATTTAGTGGAAATT